CTCCTGAGTAGCTGGGAGTACAGGTGCCCACCACCATTCCTGGCTCATTTTTTTTTTTTTTTGTATTTTTAGTAGAGACAGGGTTTCACATGTTAGCCAGGATGGTCTCAATCTCCTGACCTCGTGTCATGATCCCAAAGTGCTGGGATTACAGGCGTGAGCCACTGCGCCCAGCCTCTTCTTTGTAGTTTTTGTTTAACTGGCCTTTCTCCTGAGCAGCCCACACAGAACTTGGTCAAATATCACAGACTCCGAAAGCACTGGTGGAGAATAGGAGCTACCACTCAAATGCTGGCTTGTCCGCCACACTATTCGTACTCGTTTGGCATCTCATTTCACATCCCATTAACCTTTTTAGTATCTTTTTTAAAGCATGTGAGTGTTCTCAGTGTTATCTCCACAAGGTCATGAGAATTTTCAAACAGAAACTTCTTCAAAACTCCCGAGGAAGTGACCCGTAAAGTGGCAAGGCTGCCATTCTGGAGGAATAGGACTTCAGAGAGGACAGGAAAGCAGCAGCTCTCTCCTAAAATGGACCTGATGATGTGCCCTTGCATGGTGGCTTCCTGCTTTATCAAGCTCAAAGGCTGCTGCTTGTCTCGGGGGATGATGAAGCCCAGAGCAGGGAATTTTAGGTGAGAGTTAACAAGAAATTCCTGAGCTGCAGTTCCCAGGAAAGTGGTGGGCTGTGGGTGGGAGGAAGTGGTCAGAATATAGCCTCTGCATTACTGTGTCTGTTAACAGCCTGTTAATATTTTATCAATGATCACATCACAGCATATAGTGAGCCACCACTTAGGGCAGAAGAGAGAGATAACCTGCTAAACTTCCTGTTTGAGGTTCTTTTCCCTCTTGAGATAACAGAATTTCTCATCAAAGCTGGGAGCCGCTTGAGCAGGGAGACCAGTCTGGGTGAAGGCCAGGCTTCAGCCAGCTGAGGAGAAGCACATGCACTTCCCAGCCTGGGCCTCTGTGTCCCAGAGTGGGCTGCTGCAGGCACGAAAGAATCCCCTGTCTGTGGGCCCAGGGCTGAGTGGGAGGGAACAGAGTTGGCCCTGCCAGGCCTCATCACCTTCCTTTAGCACGAGGCTCTTCTCTTGCCTGTCTCCCTTCTCCCACACCTGCATTTCTCCTCTGGTCCATAGACAGAAGGCCCCTGGCTACCTGAATGGGCACTGCTTGTGCTTCCCCCAGCAAGTTCCAAAGTCTTGTGCAAGGGAAGGAGATGAGGGAGGAGAGGCTGAACCCCAGGGTCACTCCTTTTAAAGTCACATAAGGGTCTTGTGAGGCAAACTCAGAAGGATTCCGGATTAGCTGCACAGCATATCCCTGCTACCTCCTTAGCACTGCCTCTCCACCCGATTGCTCAATTTCCCAGAGTCCTTCCATTGCAAGAAGCAGTTTTCATCATGCTTTCCCCAAAAGCTCATGTAGTGGCAGGCCCTTATTTCATATGGATTGTAATTTAAGGGGACTTACAAGACTATTTTTATCAGCCCTTGACACCCCTATTTTATGTCACTTTTGTCATGTCTTTCACAGGACAGCCCATATGCTGCCTTGTACCACAGTTAGGTGTCCATGTCTTACCTCCTGTAGATGAGCTGTCAGTTTCTACAGGGTACAAACTTTACCTTGTTCACTCTCATCACCCTCAAAGCCCTTTGCACATTTCCTGACACAGAGTAAGAGTTCAGTGAGTGTGGGCTGGCCAGCAGATGGCTGTTTGAATAGCTGGACAAAGGTCTTTCCGAAAGTTGGAGCTTGCCTTTCCACTAAGAAGCCAGTTTCAGTCCTTCCCCCATTAATGATCACATAGCAGTGGGTCACTAGGGCTCCAAGGGGGAGAAAATATGAGTCACATTATTATCAGAGGAATGAGAGAGGGCAGAACATCTCTCCTTGTGCAAGGGTCAGAGCCATGAGGCTGGAGCATTAAACATAGTGGCCTTCACTATCCCCTAGGTTTGTGGCTAATCTAAATTACTTTATGAGGGAAGGCAATGGGGTGAACTGAAAAGTGTTTGCCCTGGACCCAGGAGTCGGGAATATTTCTAGGAAACTACTTAGAGCAAATCCTTTCTTGCTTAACCAGCTGGAGGGAACAGTTGCTCTTTGTTAGGTCTTCCCTGGCTTTTCTGGTTGAGGATGAACTTCTAACTCCTTCCACTGAAACTTCCCAGATTAACAAATGTAGGAGGATCCCTCAGGCCAGCCTCCTTCTAAGATGAAGGGAAGCTGTGTGCTCTATATCCAGCAAAGGCCCTTATATTCCAGTGACTGACAGGGACACGAAGCCTGCAAGAGTTTGAAGAGCAATATGTTCTCATACACCTTCTGAGACCAGAATGCTGGGCCCATGTTGCTGTGAGAACTTTCTAAGCTTACGTTCAAACTCTGACACTGACCTGAGTGATATTACTCACATATCTGGGCCTCCATTTTGTCTCTTGTAAAAGACCCACTTCACTGGAGTATGTAGAGAATGCAGTAAAATCAGTGGATCTGCAAGTGCTTTAGCAGCCAGATGGTAGGTCATCAGAGCCCATACCAGATTGCTGCCTACTCAGCATAGCAGAGCCAGCAAGGTGGTTTTATCTTCCAACCTCCAGTGGCCCCCAATCAAGAGCTCTGGGGTTCCTGGTGCCAAACCAGAGACATGACTTCTTGTTAAGCTTTTACCCAGGGAGCCTTCTCTCTCTACCCTTATTCCTGCCTGCTGCCATTCCCTCTAAATGGATTTGGTTGCTGACATTCTAGTCTCTGCACCAAAGAAGGCTCACTTCAGAAGTGCAAGGGTAGTGTCTGATACAACAGGCTATGTGCTGAGGCCCTCTAGATCCAGGGGCTGGTTAAGCTGAATCAGGTAGGGCCCCATTATTGTCAGTGTTGCCACAGTGAACACCCTTATGAATGGGGCTTTGTTAATTCCTAGTGAGGGTAGAACAGGGCCAAATCATTGGTCTCCCGAACTGCCACACCTTCAGAGTTAGGGGAATTGGAATTGAGGTATTGTGTCTTACTCAATGTAAGCCTGGCATGCTCCTGGTAGAGCAGCTAGCGGGGCCCAGGCTGGCCAACATAGCAGGAGAGGGCAGTTCCAGATGGTACACTTGATGATTTGCCAGATTGTCCTCATGGGCGACCAGGATTGCCTGTGTGCCCTCCTTGTTACCTGGTTGGCTGTGAGTTATTTTCCTCAGGCAGCTTAGGGACCTCTAGAAGGCTCTTCTATTGGCTGTGAATAGTGTGGGATCAGCAGGGTCCTATTTTGGCAGTCAGGAGACTGAGGGAACTAACACTATCTTTGTGGCCCTGGGAAAATCTATTTACTTGTGTGGGCCTTAGTTTCCCCATCTGCCAAATGCAGATGATTAGATCCATTTCACCTTCCTCATGATAGTGGTTCAGAGAATGAAAGGAATAAATACATCATCATTTAGCAAACAACTGAAAACAATTGTTATGAAAAGGAAAGAGCCCTGGGGAAGTTGAAGAGGTTGGAGTTGCCTTGGGGAGGAGATTGTCATGCTTTCTAATTATTTCTAGTAAGGTCTAGAATTGTCTATCCACCCTGTGGAAAGAAATGCCAGTTTCCACCCTCCCCTCCCCTTAGGCGAAATCCCTCGAGTTTCACTTGCCCATTCTGGGCCCCTTTTAATCAGTAAGACAGTTACTCAATCAACAAGTGTTTATTGATCACCTAGTGTGTGCCCGGCACTGTTACAGATACTCTGGGGGAAACAGAGAGGTCTAGGATATGGCCCCCACCCACCGAAGGGTTTACAATGTACTTGTGAGATTGGACACACACACACACAAATAATGATCAATCAAAAATTGCGAATACTAAGCATCAAGAAGCAATTTATACATTGAGGGTTGGGGTAGGGAGGGGTAGGAGAGGGATGGAGTGATCAGAGAAGGCTCAATGAAGTAGGTGATGCTGAGGAAGTTCTCCAAGCCTGAGGAGGACTTGGCTAAGGGAGAGGGCCTTCCAGGTTGGGAGAGCAGCTGGAACATGGACAAGAAGGTGGACATGTGAAAGGCATGTTACAGACAACAGATGGGCCCTCTCTGCTGACACTGAGGTTCGAGGAGGTGTGCTGAAATTTTTCAGAAGCCAGTCATGCCTAGACTGGTGAGGGAAAATACTTTGGTGTATGACCCCTCACTCCCACTCCAGGGTAAAGGGAACATTTTCAGACCTTAGAGGTGGAACTGTCTTCCTGGGAACCATTCTCCACTCCCACCTCAGCTACAATCCCAGGCAGCAGTGCAGCTGTCACTCAGATCATGGACACAGCACCGTGGGCATGGATATGCCATGTTGGAGCCCTTAGATGCCCTCTAGCCACTCTGGAACATCTTCTGATGGACAGTGGGGGAATCTGAAGGGACTTGCTTGATGCTGTGGTCTTTCAGAGGCTCTGTAGTGCTCTGTGGGTGGACCCTGGGGGGGCCTGATCTCAGTTGAGCTGATTTTCCATTACGCCTGAAGACTTTCTAGGGGGCTGCCTCTCGCTGGCAGAGTAGAAACACCCACTGGAGCCACTGCACACATCCACCTGGCTTCTTAGATAGCAAGGTTCTTATTCTTTCTTGGCCACCACCAAGGAATGGTGTCTTCCTCAGTACCCCACAGCTCCCACACTGTCATCCCCCAGCCAAGGGCCATCCCTAGAAAAACTGGTTTACTGTTTCTAAGGAAACCATTGTCTATAGCCCTTAGCCTTGTGGTTTAGGCAAGAGGCCAGGTCAGGTGCCCCAGAGTGAGGCAGGGGCTTCAGCAAAAGTTGTGATCGCAGCTTCTGAGGCAGTTCCTCAGTGGAGTCAGAGTCTGCTGCCACCTGAGCTTTCCACCAGATCTTCTTTCCTTTCCTTGTGCTTTCCTCAAGCCGCAGGCTTGATCCCCAGCCCACAAATATGAGAGAATTCTGGAAAGTGCTCTGGGAAATGGGATCTGTTTTTTTGTTTTTTTGTTTTTTTTTCATTTTTAGTTTTTTAAATGTCCCGGGCTGCCTTCCTGTCCTCCCATCCTGCATCCTGCATCCTGCTTTCTGTTCCCTGGATACTGTAAGATGGTTTTATTTCAGTTCATGTACAAATTAGTCTGGACACTGTGGAGTCATAACGAGAGTGGGATGGAGGTTCCAGGGCCAATCAGTTTCTTTGGAGGGAGGCTTGAGAAGTAGGTTAGAGCAATGCCCACAAAAGCCACTGCTTCTCCTTCCCATCCCCAGCAATGAGCTAAGAGCCAACCTCAGCCAGAGAGAGGGTCTTTGATCACAGAGGGTCAGTCAGTGGGATGTGATTAGTGGGTTTGGGGATGGAGTCCCAGGTAAACCAGAAGGCAAAGGGATCCTCTGAGGCCTGGCTTAAGGTAAGGGGATAGGGTTTCAAGTTGAGGGTTGGGGACTCAGGGCAGGGGAGCGGCAAGGTGAGGAAAACAGAAAGGCTGGCATGGCGAGCATCCTTGGCAATTCAACCTGCATGCTGTTACACTAGCCCCCATTTCTGCCTTTGCTCAATCCAATGGCCAAAGTCAGTCTATCAGCAGCACCTTCTGACATGATCCAGTGGTAATGTCCCTCACCTGTGGCCCTTGGGGTGCTGTCCACTGTTTTTCACAGACCCAGCCACCCCCTAGCTCTGGCCCCTGGTTCTTCACACATACCCTGTCAGGCTGTAGGAATTGAACTCACTCTTGACTTTGGGAAGTTGACCAGGCCTTGGAGAGCTCCTTGTGGCAAGAGGTTGGGCTTGGTAGGCATCGTAGTAGTTGGAGCGATTTCTCTGGGATGAGCAGGAAAAGCAGAGGATGATTCCAGCTATCAGGGAGAACAGGGAAGAAATAATGCCCAAGTAAAGAGCCTCTCCAATCTCAAATTTCATGCTGTCAGGCACCAGTGGTGAGTAGAAGTCCCGCAGGATCCCATGAAGATTCCAGGCAACAGGAATGAAGCCCAGGAGGCCTCCAAGGATGAAAAACACTCCACCTGCTACCGCCACTCTGTCTTTGGCTCGGGATTCCTGGCAGAAGACTGTACATTTCATGCCCACCACAGAGATAATGCAGGCCAGGGAGGAGATTGCACTGGATGTCACCATCATGGCCTGGGCAGCCTGGATGTCAGCGGGCAGGCCCAGAAGGGTGCTATAGATGTCACACTGGGTGATACCTGTGCTGTGTGTGGCACACTCCATCCAGAGGCCCTTGGAGAAGCCGACTGCTGTCACAATGCTGGCACCGACGTAAGAACTTGTTTTCCAGCTGGGAAGCAGCATGGCAACCAGTGTTCCCAAAAGCCCCAGAAGGCCTAGGATGTAGCCCACAAGTTGGAGGCCAAGAGAGGCCATGGCAGACCTCTCAGTAGAAGCGTCTTCAGGGACTGCTCCCTTGTCTTCAGGCTGAAGCTCTTGCTCCTTGGACACCTCTAATCCCTCATTTCAGAGTCTCTCTGCCAGGCTGACTTCTTTCCTCCTTACAAGTGTCTGTGGGTGGCCACAGGCAGGCTCAAGAAGGCATCTAGAAGACCTAAAAAAATCCATAAACCAGATTAAATATTGACCAGAAGCTTATGAGAAACCAGAAAACGCTGGATGCCTTTTGACCTTTGTTATCTTTAGAAATAACACATGAGAAAGGAAAAAAAAAAAAAAAAAAAAAAAAAAAACTTTGAACGTGGAGCCAAAATGTCATCGCCTCCTGCGTAGGCACATGCCTTAGGTTGGCAGCTGGACAAAGCCAGGAGCCAGACAGGTGGCTGCCTTCCGGGAAGGTGATGATGGCTGTGGCGGTTGTGGTGGCTGTGTTAACTCAAGTACTAGTCTCTAAGGCCTGCTGTTTAATACATTGCCAAGCAACAGTGCCATAGGGCCCCTCAATTGCAGACTGAGGTCAAACTGCAGACGGCATCTGGAGGAACAGATCCGAGAATGTAGCCTTGGACCCCAGCTTATTAGAGGCCTCTTGAATCTCCAGGGGCCTATAGAGTAGTGGCCTAGCCCTGAATCATTCTGCCCATGTTGAAAGTCTACTCCAGGGCAGATGGGGGTAGGCAGCAAAGCCTTCTGTCCATACTCTGAGAGTTCAGATCCTCCCAGCCATGCCCAAATACCCCTCTGCAGCCTAGTCTAAGGCCTCCTGCATGTGTAACATGCCCAGACATTTCCTGTCCAGTCTCCTAAGAGATGCTCCCATCATCAGCCTCTTGGATGATGAGGGGGCACTCTGGAACAAGGGTTCCAGGACTGAGAGGGAGCCTTGAAATTCCCTGGGACATGTGTTAGGGGGACAAGAGTCTGCCACGGAGGAAAGGGAAACTGCTCTAGAATATAGGGCTTTGCATGAGGTGGGTATCTGAGTCAATGCTTTGGAATCTCAGAGCCATATAAGATTTTGCAGTGTTCAAGGAGCCCCCAGTGTTGCCAAGATTCAGGACACTAAGGGTCGAGGGTACACTTCCCCATTCTCTATAAGACCCTCTGACCCATTGATTTTTCTTTCTTTCTTTTTGAGACAGGTTCTCACTTTGTCACCCAGGCTGGAGTACAGTGGCATGATCTCGGCTCATTGCAGCCTCGACCTTCTGGGCTCAAGCGATCCTCCTGCCTCAGCACCCCAAGTAGCTGGGACTACAGGAGCATAGCACCACATCTGGCTAATTGTGTGTGTGTGTGTGTGTGTATGTGTATTTTTTGTAGAGATCGGGTTTTGCCGTGTTGCCCACACTGGTCTTGAACTCTTGAGCTCAAGAAATCCGCCTGCCTCAGCCTCCCAAAGTGGTGGGATTACAGGCATGAGCCACCATCTGACCTAACCCACTACTTTTTCAACCCACCACAATCTGGCTATTCCATTTTAGCCTTCTTCAAGATTTCTCTTTCCCTACTCATCTCTTAAATGTGAGTATTCCTCAGAAGTCCATCCTTTTCTCAATTAACACTCTGTCCCTGAGCAAACTCATCTTGCCCCCATAACTTAATCTACTACCCATCCACTGACCCTCCAAATCTGAATTGCCAGGATAGACCCTTCTGAGCTTCAAGACTGGCAGAGCAATCACCTAGTCAGAATCTCCACAGGGAAATCTCATAGACATCTCGAATTTGACATGTCCAAAAGAGAACTCATCACCTCCCCCATGCAGCTTTCCCCAAACAGTTCTTCCCTGGGTTCCCTGTGTTCACTGAATGATACTTCTATCCGTCCCCTTGTGCCAGACCAAAATCTGGAAAGTGATCTTTGGCATCTTTCTTGTACTTACCTCCTGCATCCTATAGTCCCTATGTCCCACCAGTTCTACCTTATGAATATACCTCAAATCTATGGTTCCTTTGTCTCCATTTCCACTGCTACTTCCCTAGTTCAGAGTTTCACCATTCTTTTTTTTTTTTTTTTTTTTGAGACAGAATTTTGCTTTTGTCGCCCAGGCTGGAGTGGGGTGGTGTGATCTTAGCTTACTGCAACCTCCACCTCCTGGGTTCAAGCGATTCTTGTGCCTCAGCTTCCTGAGTAACTGGGACTACAGGTGCATGCCACCACACCCAGCTAATTTTGTATTTTTAGTAGAGACAGGGTTTCACCATGCTGGCCAGGCTGATCTCGAACTCCTGACCACAAATGATCTGCCCATCTCGGCCTCCCAAAGTGCTAGGATTACAGGCGTGAGCCACCATACACGACCTCCTCATTCTCTTTCACCTGGATTATAACTGGTCTTTCTCCCAATTCATTCTCTACATCATTGCCAAGGTGATCTTTCAACACATTAATCTGATCAAGTCACTACTCTACATAAAGCATTCCAATGGCTCCCCACTTGCTAAAATGTAAAAGTGCAAACTTGCTTGTACTCCATGACCTCTCAAGCTTCATCTCTTGCCCTTTCCCTCCTCATAGTCTATACCATTGTGGAACTAAATTACTTCCAGTCTTCAATCATGCCATGTGGTCTTTTGCTCCCAAATAGAAATAGAACAGAATGTTCTATGCAGAGTGTTAATGTATTCTTCTTCCTCTGTTTAGTGCCTTCTCGTCTTTTAGGATTCAGTGCAGATGTCTCTTACTCTAGCCTGGGTCAAGTACCCCTCCTGTCTATTCTTACAGTATCTTGTGTTTACTTCCATCATAGTAATAATAATAATAATAGTAACACTTATGTAGTGTTTCTTATGGGACCATTATAAGCACTTTTTACGTGCTAACTTATTTAATCATCACAAGTTTTTTTGTGGTAGGCACTAATAATCCCTATTGTATAGATGAAGAAACTGAGGCAGAGATAGTACATTTTGCATTATGTTGCAATTTCCTGTTTAAACCCTTATTCTTCCCTATTAGCCTGTGAGCTACTTGAGGGCAAGACTGTATCTTATTTATCTCTGTATCTCATGTGCCTTACACACTGCTTTACCCAGAGCAGCAATTCAAAAACTATCTTCTTAATGAATGAATGAAGTTGGCAAAGAGGTTTGAGGGGCTCCATGTGACTAAAATATAGGGACTTCCCAAATGAGTCAATAACGCTTCGGTGTAAGGGTCATTGAAGTGCTGCCCAATGTTGGGAAAGAAGAAGGAGAGAGAGATGGGGGATCAGAGGAAGAAATAGGTAAAGGGGGAGAGAGAGGGCAGAGCTTCGCCATATATATAATGTATATTATATATATTTATAATATATATATATATTTGTGGAATATTTCGTCTCTTCAACCAAATCCTAACAATTTGAGGGTGAAAAAATATATATTAAATGTCTATCATGCTTCCACAGCATTGGGCACATGATTGATAGTCAATACGATTCATCAGCATTGGAAACAACAATGCCAGTGTTGATGCAAAGCACTGCAGAGCAGGAGCTGATAAACATTTGATGAATGGAGAGAGACATAGTTTGAATCTCACCTCTGTCACTCATTAACAAGTCTTTCTTGACATTGGTTTTTTATTGCTAACCTTGGCACAATTCTACCTGTCCTGATCATGACTGTGCATCTCATTGAGGCCTTCAGTGCTGCTTGGAAATCCTTTTACTTCTCCCTGGTAAGCACCCTTCTGATGACTACTTCAAATATTTACTACTACTTTTTGAGCTCCCTACCCTACCTCCTCCCTGTGCAGCTGTTACTTCTATCTTGATCATTCTTTTTGCAGTCAAGATCCTTAAGCCATTCATTATTGATGTCTCCACTTCTTCACCCTCCCACTCACTGCTCAGCCCTCTGCAGTCTGGCTGCCACCATTAGCCCTCCACTGAAAATATTCTCACCAAAGTTATCAACTCTTTTCTTGTTCCAAAATTCAATTATCATATCTCTGTCATCTCACCTTGTCTCTCTCCTTCATAAAACTATCTTCTCCCTTGTTTTCTGTAGCACCATTCCATCTTACCTACTTCTCAAAATGATTCTTCTAGTTTTCCTTTATAAGTTCCTCTTCTGCTGCTCACTCTTTAAGTCTAACTATCTATCTCTGCCCCTGTAGCCTCCTCAGGGTTTCATCTTGACTTCTAGACGGCTCTTCTTATCCTTCACATTCTTCATGGGTTATCTCATCCACTCTGTCTTCATGCCAGTGACACCTGAATTCATACCTCTGCCACAGATTTCTCTCCTGAGCTCAAGATTTGTGTAGTTAACTGTTACTTGGAATGGCCCTACCTGAATGTTTTAATGGCCTCAAATTCAACATTTGCAAAGCTGGAATCATCTGCCCTTTCTCTCCCCATGCCCAAACTGCTCCTCATGCAGTGTTCCTTACCTCAGTAGGGCCATCATCCAGTTAATAACCCAAGCCAGTTATCCTTGCTTTTTCACTCTTGTTGACATATAATTAATTGTAACGTACCATCAGGTCTGCCTTCAGAAATAGACCGTGAATCCATCTACTTCTTTCTGTTGCCACTGCCCAAACCATAGTTCAGACTATGCAACCATTGTTGCTTGACCATTTGGAAATCTCATAGACACTTCAAATTGATCTCTCTAATTTCACTTCTGCCCCAATCCTGCATTAATGAATTACCCACCCAGTAGTCAAAGATCTTTGTAAAGTTGAAATCAAATTGTGACTCTCACGTCACCTTTTGCCATGCTTAAAAATCTTCAGGAGCTCAGCCGGGCGCGGTGGCTCACACCTGTAATCTCAGCACTTTGGGAGGCTGAGGTGGGCAGATCATGCGGTCAGGAGTTTGAGACCATCCTGGCCAACGTAGTGAAACCCCGTCTCTACTAAAACTACAAAAATTAGCTGGGCGTGGTGGCATGTGCCTGTAATCCCAGCTACTTGGGAGGCTGAGGCAGGAGAATCACTTGAACCGGGAGGTGGAGGTTGCAGTGAGCTGAGATTGTGCCACTGCACTCCAGCCTGGGCGACAGAGCAAGACTTTGTCTCAAAAAACAAAAAACAACAACAACAACAACAACAAAAATCTTCAGGAGCTCTTAAGTATTTCAGGATGAAGTTCAAACTTGCTAGCCCAGGAAACCAGGAAAGCCCTCCATTATTTCACCCCTGCTTTTCTTCACAGCCTC